TCCCTCATCTAAGTCATTTATGAAGGTACTGAAGATTATTGGGCGTAAGATGGAATCTTGTGGTACCCCACTACTTACTTCCCTCCATGTAGATGTGGTACCATTAAGGACTACACATTGAGTATGGTTTGTCATCCAGTTACAAACCCATCTGGTGGTGATGTTATCTATCTATCCCACATTTTTCTAGCTTACCAAGAAGTAGGTTGTGGTCTAGTTTGTCAAATGCCTTGCTGAAGTCTAAATTTCTACAGCATTTTGCTGGTCTACTAATTTAGCCATTTTGTCAAAGAATGAAATAAGATAGGTTTAGCATGATCTGTTTTAAACAAATCTGTGCTGGCTACCAGCTATACTACCAGTTTATTTGCTTCTAGATTATTTGCAGATCTGTTTTTTAATTATTTTTCCAGTATCTTCCCAAGTATTGATGTTAGGCTGACTGGTCTGTAGTTTTCTGGGTCTTCCCCCCACCCCCCTTTTTGAAGATGGTAACCACATCAGCTCTTTTCCAATCCTCCAGTAGTTTAATAATGAGATGAATCTATGTTTCAGGATAGTCAAATCATTTCCTTTAGGAATCAAGGAAATAAAATCTTTTTTATTTCTAAATTAATCTATCTTTTCCAATTATTCATGGTTAGAATATCTGAAACTTGGCTTACAATTCCCATCATTCCCATGGGGCAGGTCTGATTAAAGACCAACTCAGAAAAGAAAAAGTCAGTTTATCTCTGCTGCCTTGAAGGGGGATGTAAAGAACAGATTTTTCCATGTTCTCTGTACACTGGCTATGTCTGACAACTATGGAAAGCTTGTGGTTAGTTATGTTTCTCTTTCTATATATATATATATAGAAACATAACTAACCACAAGCTTTCCATAGTTGTAGTATTCAGCTTTGTTTGGGTATTTTCCCACGTCATTATAGTTGTGGCAACGTTTCAGCAGAATCTCATCTGCCATCATCAGGCTTCTGTACTGTGTTTGTACATGAGTCAGACTTTCACAGCCATCTCTGTTTTAAATTTGGTGCTAGCCTACTGCTGTGCCAGAATGGTATACAATGTTTCCAACAGAGCATACAACATTTCCAACAGAGAACTCACCAAAACCGAAACAGATGTCCTAACCAAAGGATTCAATTATGCTATAGCACCCCAAAAAATCCCCACAGAATCCATCATATGTGGAATGGAATCCAGCCTAACTAAATTAAATACAGATGAAGCTGATAGAATAAGACACCAAGTCACTAATATCCTATGCACAAGCAAACCACCCAAAAGCAACTTGCACAAAGAGCAACTAAAAGCCCTGCAAGCCCTAAGGAACGACAGCAGCATAATCATACTTCTAGCAGGTAAAGGTAATGCCACAATAGTAATGGATAGAAAAGACTACGAAACAAAATTGACAGACCTACTCCAAGACTCCACATACAAACCCATAAACACGGACCCAGCCACATATCTGGAAAAAATAACTAAGAAGAAAATTATAACCAGCCACATGAGCAAAGAGATCCAACAGACGATCATCCCAAGAGAAAAATCTTCCAGATGCTCCAAACTATACAGCCTCCCAAAAATACACAAAGGAGGCATACCTCTCAGACCCATAGTCAGCTCCAGAGGAGCACCACTACAAAACCTAGCCAAACCTAGCAAAGCAGCTACAGCCCATGCTGAAGCAGCAGCTTCACCTGTACAAAACTCATACCACCTCTTGGAAATGATCAAAGGTATACACTTGGAACAAGAAGATCTGCTTGTAAGTTTCGACGTGGTTTCATTATTCACTCCAGTCCTGATAAAAGAAACCCTACAATCATCAAAAATAAATACCAACCACCCAAACACTTCATGGAACTAGCAGAACACTGCTTAACCAACACATATTTCATATACAAAGGACAAAGATACAAGCAAATTGAAGGAACCCCTATGGGATCACTACTGTCACCCGTCATTGCAAACCTGTTCATGAAAGAATTCGAATCCAGAGCCCTGGCTAATGCCACCCACAAACCCAAACTACGGTTAAGATACATCGATGACACATTTGTGATTTGGCCCCATGGAAAAGAAAACCTAAACAATTTCCTAACACACCTAAACAGCACACACCCCAAAATCAAGTTCACCATGGAAACAGAAACAAACAAACAACTACCATTCCTAGATGTACTAATCTACAAAAAAACAGATGGCACACTAGGACACACCATATACCAGAAGAAAACCAACCGCTACCTCAACGGCCAATCCCACCACCACCCAGCACAGATAAACTCCGTGGCCAAAACACTAATTGCCAGAACCAAACGCCTGGCAGACAAGACACACATAAAGACTGAACTATGCACCCTGACTAAAGTACTGACAGCCATCGGCTTCCACCAAAGCAAAATCACTGGCCTGATCCACAAAAATACACTGAGACATAATGGAGACCTAGAAGATGAACAGACCTATGGAACAGCTGTCCTGCCCTACATAAGAGGTACTACAGACAAAATCAGTAAGATACTACACAGGCATCACATCAAGACTGCCTTCAAAACAGACAGAAAATAGCAGCCATCCTAAGGAACCTCAAAGATAAAATTGACCTGGAAAACCAAGGCATATATGAAGTTCCCTGTGCATCATGCCCTGCCACATACATTGGACAGACCAATAGAAGAATAAGTACCCGCCTGGATGAACACAAAAATGCAGTAGAAAAGCTGGAGCAAACTTCCTCACTAGTCCAACACATGAAAGCCACAGGTCATAGCATTGACTTCAATGGCACCAAAACCCTAGCCACTATAGAAAACCCCAGCTACAGAATTATCAGAGAAACCATAGAGATTGAAAAAAGACCTGAAAGCATGAATAAAAGACATGACTCCACCAGACTGTCAATCATTTGGAAGCCTGTACTCACAAACAAAAAAATCTCCACACCACAAGCCAAGCAAACACCTGGACACAAACAGATCCCCCCTGATACTTCCAGCTCAAACACAACCTAACCAGGTACCCAGATGAAACCCAGCTTCCTAACAAATGATAGTCGTCCATTTACTCGGAGCCAAGCTGCACTAAAAGCCTCCAATACAGGAACAAAATGTTGCCAGCCAATCAAGACACACAAAAAAGCCACAAAACAGACAGAAGATATTAGAAACACCAATCAAGCAGAACACAGCAAACTCCAAGACCAATAAACACAGATCAAGACTCCCAACCAATCAGGATGAAGAAAAAACCATTCTGGCACAGCAGTAGCCTAGCCCCAATTTTAAAACAGAAACGGGTGTGAAAGTCTGACTCACAGATGAACACTATACAGAAGCCTGATGATGGCAGATGAGATTCTGCCCAACCTTGCTACAACTTTAAAAGCACAACTATAATGATGTGGGAAAAATACCCAAACAAAGCTGAATACCATACATGTATGTACCCACGAAAACTTAAGAAAACACACACACACATATAATCTATCATCATTACCATCATTAATATTTATCCATCTATCCAACATCTATCAATCTGACAATCTATCATCTACTAACATAATTAATCTACCTACCTAATCATCTAGAAATTGCGAATGATCTTACTTCCTCTGCTCCACCCGATTGTGGGACTGGCGATCACGATTCCTCCTTCCATCCACCCACCCACCCCTCCATTCGATTCAACCGGCCTCCCGTTGCCGCGTCGCAAAGGCTATTCCAGGCGGAACCCGCGGCCGTCTCCCCGCCGTTGGGCATCCTTTCCTGTTGGGAAGGAGGACGAGCGAGGCGGGCGTCTTTTCCCCTTTTTCGTCCGGACCGACGATGCAGAGGCAGTTTCGCGCGCCGCTCTGTGCCTTATTCCTGCTGCTTTTGCTGTTGAGCGAGACCCCACCCAAAGCCCTGCCCTCCGTGATCCCTACAACCGGTAAGGCCACCTCGCCACCTCAGAGCTCGAGGCGCCTCACGGGCGGCAGCCGTCGAAGAAGCGAGGAGGCCCAACCGCTCCCGCCCCTCAAGCCGCGAAGGGCACGTGCGCCGCGCCTCTGGCCTTCCCCACAGAACTACAACTCCCGTCAACCTCTCCTTACAAGAGCGCCTCGCGGTCGGCGTCCAAATCTCACTCTAGGTGGAACTCCGCAAGTGGGGATTGGAAATCCCGCCCAGCTTTTGAAAAGGTGGAGCGGGAAGTTTCTTCGTCTTCGAAAGTAGCTGATCATTGCAAACGTCCATAGCGGCCGTCCTGGGCAGGGTGGCGGTGGGTGCCCTGGAGATTTGCTCAGAGATCCCGATCAAGAAGAACTAGAGCAGAAAGAAATAAAAGCTCTGGCAGATATGAAGGGATGTTTGCAGGTATATAGATAGGAATATGCCGGTGGGGAGTCTAAATAGAAAAAAGGCATCTGAAATAAGGATGCGGAGGTGGAGGTGTATTTCAAGCTGCCTGTATTTTGAACACATCAATCAGAATAGAGACGGAAGGGACCTTTTGAGGTCTTCTAGCCCAACCTAATCTCAAGCAGGAGATCCTACCGTTTCAGACAGGTGGCTGCCCAAACTCTTAAAAATCTCGAGTGATGGAGCACCCACAATTTCTGATGGCAAACTGTACCACTGCTTAATTGATCTCACTGTTAGAAAGTTTCTCCTTAATTCCAGGTTGCTTCTCTCCTTGATTAGTTTCCATCCATTGTTTCTTGTCCTGTCCTCCAGTGCTTTGGAAAATAATTTGACACCCTCTTCTTTGTGGTAGCGCCTCAAATACTGGAATACTGCTATCAAGTTACCCCTCAACATCAGAACATCATCAACAACATCAGATGTGCTTCTGGTTTAAAATAAAAGACTGCCTGTGCCCATAGTACACAACTATCATCTACTTAATCGTCTTAGTGCCTATTTTAAACATGCTGTTGCTGGTAAAGGAGTTTGTGTGTGTGTGTGTGTGAATCCTTTAAACGTGCTGTTAGAAAACTTTTTTGCCTCCTAGATTGTGGAACCAGGCCAGTTGTGGATGACATAGTAACAGAGACACGAATTGTTGGTGGACTTGATGCTCAGCTTGGTGGATGGCCATGGCAAGTTAGTCTTGAGGTTTATCATTTCGGTAAAGGATTTGTTCATGTATGTGGTGGATCGTTAATTAATCACAACTCAGTGTTGACAGCTGCACACTGCATTAAAGAATGGACGTATGTATTCTCTTCTGTTTTAAAACTACTCTTATCAGTATAGAAGGGGTGAAAAAACTTGATTAGCCTGCAGTATTGGCTGAATTTAGAAATATGTTTTCGAACCGATCTTGACCTCCTGAACTTGTAACAAAATATTAGTGTTACTAAAATATATGTTGCCGACATTAACTTTTATTATCCCAAACCAGTTTAAAATGAGATTAGGTAAGAAATAGCTCTGCAGAGCACTACATTAAAATGCTCAGCTAAATGGGCAGCTTTTGCTTATGTGATTTTTAGTTAATTCTATAGTACAATAGGTATGAACAAAAGCTATATCAATGCATGATAGTAAAACTACAGCTAAGTAAAGTAAAAATGGGTAGGGAAAGATAAAACAGCCTTTGAAAATATTACTGAAAGAAATATATCTAGATTAGAGGAAGGAAGCTGAAGCTAGATAAGCTGCAAACTGATGTTAATGATAGAGCTGTAAGGAACCTTGGAGGTCCCCTGCTCAAGTTGAAGAGCAAGCAAGAAAGTATCTTGAAGGAATAAAAAAAAACATGCGAGAGAGTATCCAGAACCAAAAGTAAGAGATCTCTGAAGCAAACTACCTGAGACGGGAGGACTAGAATAAACTGGACCTAAGAAAAAAAAGAAATTAGTCTGATCTAGATAGCAATTGAAAGGGAAGGTTGAGACGAGCATATTTTTATTTATTTTTATCTGACCTTTATTATTTTTATAAGCAACTCAATATATATAATATAGTTTTCAACTTGCGACCACAATTGAGCTCAAAATTTCTGTTGTTCACTGAGACATTTGTTAAGTGAGTTTTGCCCCATTTACAACCTTTCTTGCCTCATTTGTTAAGTGAATCACTGCAACTGTTAAATTGGTAACATGGATGTTAAATGAATCTGGCTTCCCCAATGACCTTGCTTGTCAGAAGGTCACAAAAGGGGATTATATGACCTGGGGACACAGCAACGGTCATAAATATGAACCAGTTGACAAATGTCTGGATTTTGATCATGCGATCTTGGGGATGCTGCAAAGGTCGTAACTGAAAAACGGTCGCAAGTTGCATTTTTAGTGCTATTGTAACTTTGAACAGTCACTGAATGAACTGTTGTAAGTCACGGACTACTTGTACTCCTTCCTCTTCCAATTTTCTCCACAACAATCCTGTGAGGTGAGTTGGGCCAACAGTGCGTGACTGACCCAAAATCACTCAACCAGCTTTCATGCCTGAAGTAAAATTATAACTGCTTAATCAGTTACATTTAGCTGACATTCTATTTTGGAGCTTCAGATGAATCTTAAATTAGGTTTCATTCTTGTGAATTGTAAGTTTTATGTCAGATTTTTATTTACAAATGAATGTGTCTAAACCAAAACCTGTTTTTTGTTGTTTTTTTTGTTTTTTGCCAAAGTGGAGAAATAATCTCTTCATTCATGGCTAATGGGTTAGAGCACGGCTGTCAAACTTGCGACATCATGTTACGTATTGCGATATTTTTTGCCTTTGTGGAGCTGGGGTGGGTGTGGCCTGCACATGATGCACCCAGCCCGCAGGCTGCCAGTTTGACACCTTGGGAGATTGTGGCCTTTGTACTTGAGTACTGAATTCTTTTCTAAAACAATAGTAAACATATTTACTCCCCTCAGAATTTCTATTTCCAAATATTTTTATGAGCTCTGAAGAACAAGAATATATGAAATGAGACTTTGGCTAGGGTTCCAGAAACTTTTATTGTGCTCCTTGGGATTTTTAATACTGAATGTAACAAACATCAGACTCCTTATGTAATTTTTCCCAGTTTCCAAAAGGAGCCCATAAAGTCAGTTTATTTAGCATATGGCATATCATAAATGGACTAGCAATATAAATTAACATTTCAACTAGACTAGTAGAACCCAATAAAATATAAATGTTAAAAAGCATAAAGTTTGGTTTAGTTTACTTTATTGTCATTGCACCTCATATAACGAAATCAAACATCATCTTTAGCCCACATCATGACCATGAAAATAAAAACAAACACACATCCTTCACACTCCACACATTGAACTGAAAACTTCTTTTTTTTTTAAAACAAATTTTATTAATTTTTGAAATCAATACACAAACAAACAAAACATAGAATATAACAACATAAGAGATCTTTTCTGGAAAAACAAATAAGGCATCTTATTTAAAAACAAAATAATTCCAAATTATCATATTTCCATACAAACACAATTTAATATGTATATTTATCTTATCTTCAATTTCATATCTTTTCCCAACTTCTCTTTATTTCTCCCTTTCCTTCTATTCAATTATATTTCTTTTACCTTGAATTATATATATTCATTGTATCCATCTGCGTTATTTACAATTTCATTATTCTCTTCCAACGTTCTTCTAGGGTTTTAATTCAAACAGACAGACATAACACAAAACATAAATACATAAAACTTCTTTTTGGAAAGCGGCTTACCCCGGGTTACATCTCTTTGTACAGACATAAATCAAATTCATGCTCACAAATATATTATTTCATATCTTATTTAACATTCTATATTTTCTATATGTTTTCTCTCTTCTATTCACTCTCTTAATTCTATTTTATGTATTTCACCTCATGAACTGAAAACTTCTGACACTGCACCAACACTGCACCATACAGTAGAATTCAAAAGAGCTACTGCCCTGTGATAGAAGCTGTTTTTCAACCTATTTGTTTTTATTATTCTGTACCGTCTGCCAGATGGTAATAGTTCAAAAAAAGGGTTCCCAGGATGAGATGGATCTTTGAGAATGTTTTGAACTTTCTTAAGGCAGCAGAAGCTTTAAAGCTGTTCCAAAGAGGAGAGCGGGCAACCAATGATCTTCTGGGCAATGACGTTAACCCTCTGGAGTGCTTTTCTATCTGCCACTGTGCAATTGGCAAACCCTACAGAGGTGCAGTAAGTTAAGATACTCTCTATGGTGCAGCGGTTAGAAGGTCATCAGCAGTTTTTCATTCAGTTGTTTTCTGAGAAGTCTCAGGTCCAAAGCCCAAAATAATTATTGTTTCAGGATCATAGGTTTAAAGTGTTGATTTTTGGGGATGCTGGCTTTAGTACTTGCATAGATGCTAGCTATGAGTCAGTGGCTAATCTTTCATGTGGTTTTTCTATCTTAATTTAATCCCAGCTCCATTTAATAATGAATAGGCAATAAGTGGCAATCAGTGTTCTAAATGTAGGTGAAGGCAGAACCTGGGGGCAGAGTCAAGAGAGGAATCAGCCTAGGATCTCTACATAGCCACAAATGGTCTAAATCCCCCTCCCCTTGAATTCCATGGACTCTTAACACCACACAACTTTCAAATATATTCCATATGATACAGCATGGTACATGTAGACATCTGAAATGTCTTTTTTTTAAGGAAAAAGAATTTGACCAAGAAATCAAAAGAAGAAATATATGAAAATTTATAAATATTACTGGTATATATCACTCAGAGCAAAGAGGAAATTAGAAACTACATATTTACCTATAATGTTTTAATTCTGTTCTTGTTTATCTTTTTGATACCCGTAAATGTCAAAATAGTGGAGACTTCAACGTGAAGTTCAGATGTTAAAAAACCTCTAAAATCTGTTTTAGATTGTAAAAATAATGTGTTCTGTTTTTTAACATCCCATCAATGACATACTGTTTGCTCTCAATAACAACTTTGTCCACTTATTGATACTATATCTGTGCTTTAACTATTTTCCCCTTTGCTTGTTTATTTTCTCATTATCTAAAAAGGATTAACTTTTTTTTTTAAAGGGTAAGAAAAAGTGTGCAAGTTCAGGGTGTAGGAAGCTACAATTCTACAGTCAGCTCTCATTGATTTCTACCGAGGGCTTTATTCTGTTCTAGGTTCCCTTCGTTTTGGAGAGCTGTGGTTGGATTGCATCATATTACTAGACACCACATCCATACCAGAAGGAGCCGGATCAGGGCTATCATTATGCACCCCGGTTTTAACAAGATTACCTACGAGAATGACATTGTTTTGTTCAAACTGATAGAGTCTATCCAATTCAATCAGTATATCCAGCCCATCTGTATACCTGATGTCCCTGTTGCTCTAAATGAGGAGATGACATGTTTTATAACTGGATGGGGACGGACAACAGAAAAAGGTGAATTTTTATTTCCCCCTTTCCCTTGGCCTGTTAAAATTAGAAAGTTGGATTGAAACCTGAATGTGGTGGTGGTGGATGGAAATTATCCAGGAATGAGATACCACTCCCCTTTGATTTAAAGACAAATTAGACATTCGTAGGATGAGTGGTCTGCTTCAGTCAGAGTGCAGCTGAAACCATTAATTGGTGGGTGATATTTGCACAAAATATGTCTTATTCCTAGCTGGGGATGCCCAGATGTTTGGCTGATCTGTTCCACACGCCTCATATTCCCAATGAACTGAGAGACAAACTAGAGAAATCCAGAAGGTTCTTGTAGGTTAAATAGAGTAAGACTGGTGCACTGTGCCCCTCTCTCCTTCTGCTCTGCATTGCCATGGGCCCAGCCCTCCCATCATTTTCTTGTCCATCTTTGAAGGAGACTAAGTCCAGAAACAGGCCAGCAGGGATTCCAGGAATACTTTTTATTGTAATGAAGCAGAACAGCAGAATATTGAAAGCCTGTCAAAGTTCCTTTCTGCCCCATCTTAAATTGGACAACAAAAGGTGGGATTATTTGTAGTTTCCTCTTCACGCTTCCCTCTTTCTTAAGACTGTGCAATTCCCCCCACACACCCCCATCGGCAAATTCTCCTTGGTGGCTCATTCCTTCCTTCCCGATGCACAAGGTCAGCTCTACTCTCCATCACACCTCCTTCCCATGACTTTTCTTTACCTGGGTGCTGCTGTTCCACTATGCTTTAATTCAACACAGCATGCCAAACATATTTCTGCTGTTCCTCCAGATCTCACACCTTCCTGAACCATACATCACTGTCAGCTTGTTAAATGTATTCAAATGACCTGCTTACTCTTCTCTCCGTCTTCCTATGCCTTCCTCTCCTATACCTTCCTTTAGCCTCCATCAGTGGTGACCTTACCTCTTTCCACATTCTCCTGATTCTGTGGCATCTCTCCCTAGAACACATATGTCTGGATAAAACGCATGCAGTTCCAGGTCTTTGTTGAGAAAATATATGCGAACTGTGTGCATAACAGACGTGTTGGTTCAGGCATGGACCATCCAAATTCTTTGCATAGACATTTAAACAGAATATGCCTAACAGCACAGCATTTAACAAATGGGGAACAATGTTCGTACCTAGTTCAGGTTTTATCTTGGGACTGCAGAGCAGATATAACTAGTGATGAAACGTGGCAGATGAATACAACTGACTCCTTCAGACATTTTTCCTTGGTCACTCATATCTAAGAATTGCTAATGATCTTTGTGCCCTATAATCATTCTACACCTTGATCATTCTGTCCTAATTTTTTCCATAAGGATCAAATATTGTTTCAGTACTTCATTTCTGCCTAAAATGGTTTTGTTTTTTATATGAACTGTTATATTTAGTCTCCTTTTTACAAACCTTTTAACCATTAATTTTATATTCAGAAAGCTGCTTCTCCTGCCAGAATCAACTTTCTATTATAAATATTGAAACAAGAGAGTACCTGTAGTTTCATAGTTTTCTACAGTTAGTTTCTACCTATTTATATCTTTCATGAGACAAGAACACCTGAATCTGTATTTAAAGAAATAATGCAACTTTTAACCGTATTGTTTTTCTTTGAGCATGTCAGTAACATCTTTCTTGCTTCACTAAGTTAACTGATTACTCAGCTCACATACATAATCATAGATGCAATGAAGGACAGTTTGCTTAACATTGGTTCCGTTATTCATGGTTTTTCATTTCCTTCCACTATTATACCTCAATACTGCCTAAAGCAGGAGTTTTGAAACTTGGCAACTTTAAGACTTGTTGGCCGAGGAATTCTGGGAATTGACATCCACAAGTCTTGAAGTTGCCAAAGTTGGCCTAAACAGTTTGCCCATTGGAAAAAATGAGAAGGGACTTTGGCAGAAAGATTCACTGTAACTTCTCTATATACCTACTAGCTGTGTTAAGTGCCAAATAAAATTCATTTCATATCCAAATGCTGAAAGAACCTCTTAATTTTTCTTTGGGCAAGTGACTGGATAACCAGTTGGAAGCAAAGTGCATTAGTGTTGTCAGGTTTAAGATTCTTATTTGTTTGTTTGTTTGTTTGTTTGTCAAAAGTTACAATATAACAAACAAGACTAAACATAAGTTTAAATACAAGAAATAGGAACTAATAATTGGGGACAATAGGACAGGGACGGTAGGCACAATTGTGCGCTTATGCACGCCCCTTACAGACCTCTTAGGAATGGGGTGAGGTCAATAGAGGTTAGTTTGAGGGTAAAAGAGTGGGGGGTTTGAGCAGGTGACAACAGAATCAGGTAGTGAGTTCCAGACATTGACCACTCTGTTGCTGAAATCGTACTTCCTGCAATCGAGGTTGCAGTAATTTACATTTAGTTTATATCTGTTGTGTGCTCTTGTGTTGTTGTTGTTAAAGCTGAAATATTTGTTAACTGGTAAGATGTTATAACATATGATTTTATGTACTATGCTTAAGTCTAATCTTAGTCAGCTTAGTTCATGGTTGTCTAAGCTTAGAATCTCAAGTCTAGTGGTGTAGGGTATCCTGTTGTGAACAGAGGAATGCAGTACTCTTCTGGTAAAATACTCCTGGACTCGCTCAATTGTATTTATGTACTTATGAAGCACCAAGAATAATCTGCACCAACATTTTCCCATTTTTGCCTGAGACAGGCATAGGAGTACTTCCAGGTTTGTTTTTAATTTTCATTTTAGAGAGAGCAAGAGATGTATTACAAGAAGCACAGGTCGATATTATTCCAATATCAACTTGCAATAGGCATGACTGGTATGCAGGGATGGTAAAAGACAATATGATTTGTGCTGGCTCTGGAAAAGGAGGAATCGATGGTTGTCAGGTAAAAGAGAATTTCATTATTTACTTATTTGTTTATAAAATTTATCGGCTGCCCGTCTTATCTGGGCTGTTTAGAGCCATAACAGATAAAACTTACATAAATGAAAAACATAAGTAAGCTAATACAAGCCAAATGCTACAGTCCAATTATTGATGGGGAGGATGTGGGAGCAGAATATGGGGGGTGGGAGATGGGATCTGTTGTTAAACTGTGGCCCACCTCCACTGTTATGCTCCCTCGTTGGAGCCATAAGCTAACTGGCAGAGCCTGGTTTTAGGCTCTCAGGAGAAGTCAGGGAGATTTGAGCTGACTTTACTTGGGGTGGGGAGAGGTGTTCCAGAGGGCAAGGGCAATGGTAGAGAAGGCCCTTCTGCATCTCACTAGCTGTAATACTTGGGCCGATGGGTGATCAAATATGCCATAAAGTAAGACCTGTAAAATGATGTTATCAGAATATTTAAACTTCCAGCCAGGTTTGAAGCTAAGAAGGTTCAAGGCTGCCTCTCTTATTAGCTTCTTGGCCACTACTATTGGAAGACTGGACTTTCAGGAGTCCTGCAGTGGCATTCTCATGATCAGATGTTGAGAGAGTGAGGGGAACGTGTACATTTTGCTGTATAACCAAGGCAAGAATACCCCATTTCCAGGAGAGGGTATCTTACAGAAAACCTTTTTCTTCCTGACCAGTCATGGAAGGTGTAACTTACAATTTCTTTGCTGAGAACACACAGAGAGCCCTAATACTTGGCTCAGCTTAGCATATGAATCCAGCTAATATTATACATTCGTGGATTGTACTATATCAGCCAATTACGATTTAACAATCTGGTTAAGCAAAGGATGCTTCGTGGGTTAAGTAAATGTGTTGACTAATAATAATGTTTTCCTCTAACATCTGAGAATTCCCTCCATTGATATTTTCTCCTTGGTGTCTTATGTTCCAGGGAGACAGCGGTGGTCCTCTTGCATGCTATATTCCAGATCTCACCAGGTACTACCTGGTAGGGATCAGCAGTTTCGGTTACGGTTGTGGCCGGCCAAGGTTGCCAGGAGTGTATCTGCAAACAGGTTTTTATAGAAGGTGGATACAGACTAAAGTTATCTTATTTGACAAAGCCCTGACTAGGAAGGCTCCATATCTTTTCTTTCTGCCTGCAGGATGGATAGTTTTCTGCAGTGTTTTATGAAAAAAATATCTCCTTTTGGATTGGGATATCTTAGCTTTCCAACTTTTTTCCATATGTAGCAATATCTAATACTTTTAATTATCTAATAGATGTAATAAAAATATTGCCCAATCAGTGCAATTTATTGTGTTTTAACTTTAGACCTCATACTTCGTCACTGACAACTGTAGCTTGGAGAAAAAATACTTTTTGAAGTGTTTTTCCCCTCTAATACCTAACATTGGATTTAACATTATAAAATGTGATCTTAACAATTATTAGCTCTGCTTCTTCCCTTATGGTAAACTAAACACGTATTTTTAATCTGAAATACAGATTTTTTAAAAAACTTCCTGCTTACCTTCCTCCCTGTCTGAGTACCTTAATCCCATGGCCAGATTGCTGGTGGAGTTCTCTAGGCTTGGGTCAGGGGGGCATATAGAATAGAATAGAACAGAATAGAATAGAATAGAATCATTATTGGCCAAGTGTGATTGGCCACACAAGGAATTTGTCTTGGTGCAAATGCTCTCGGTGTACATAAAAGAAAAGATACATTTGTCAAGAGTCAAAAATCATGACTTCCAGTTTGTCGGCTTCGGTGACAGCAGGGACTCGCGTTTCCCCGCGATCCCTGCTGTGCTAGCCGCCTTGATGCCTCCGATCCTGACGGATTCGGAGGCTAAGGCTGCCCTGTTGGGGCAGCTGAAGAAAGGGGGGATCCGGACAGGGGTTGAGGGGTATCTCAAACCCCCTCCCCAGCCGGCAATAACCCCCTTCTCTCAAGACGGTGGAGCAGCGGTCTTAATGGCCGCCATGAAGAAGCCGGCAACTGGATAAAGAATGTGCAGGAGGAAGAAGAAGGAGTTTTAAAATGAAAGTTTTTTCTTGGTCGAACTGGGACCTTAAGGACATATTTAACACCTGGGAAAGTATTGGCTTTTTTCTGGACGCTACAATTTTCCCGATTGATGTTTTCAGTGGCGAAGAAAAGTGATGAAAAGGGAAAGTTACTCTCCCTCCCTTATGGAATTAACAAATGGACAAGGAAAACCTGCTTTTTAATAGAAGGTAAAACCTAAAGTCCTTTGTTATAAGTGGGAAGGGAGAGGCTTGGAAAAAAAAAATTATTCTAAGACTTTGCTGGAGGAGATGCCTTGAAGATAAAGAGAATAGAAATTAATTGTAAAAAAGATTTAAAGCACAGACTGGACTTTTTTCTTTCCCTAATTTGACTTCACCTCTGGAAGAGAAATTGTAAAAAGAAGAAGTTTGTACTCTGCCTGGACTGTTTGATGACTTCGGGATTTTGGGACTTTTGGGAGCTGTTTTAAGTTTGGAAATAACTGATTGGCTTAATAATAATAAGAGGATACAGAAAAAGAAGAAGAAACAGTTTAAAATGGCTCTATCTCTTGATGAACTAAAAAAACAATATTTAAAAATAAGGAAAGAAGGCAAAGATGTTATGGGAGAAGCCCTTTGATATGGCGCTTGTCATGTGTCAGCAAATTAAACAACAGCTGGAAGAAGCCGAGGAAGAAGAAGCCATTTTTAATGAACTAAATGGCGTGACTAAGAAAGAAAGGAGAAAGAGACGAGCGAAAAGGAAGGACTTAAGAAATAAAAAAATATTTATGAAAGAGAAAAATAAGATGCAAAAACAACAGAATGCTAGAAAGCAAAAGGAAAGAGGAATGCAACAGAAAGGGGAAACCAAGAAGGTAGAGGAGGGGGTAAAAAGTTTAGGCGGGCTAAGAAGGAAAGGGAAAAGGGGGAAAAAAGTTACAAAGGTATAAAACAAGATGGAGAAAAGAAAATTGTTTTTAGGGATAATGGGTAATGTATGGGTTTAAAAAAGGGGGGGGATTCTGCAAAGTACACATGAGTATTGTAATAGTGGTATTTGTATTATAAGTAGATAATCAGAACTTTTTAAGATCTAATAAAAGACTAAAATATTAAGGTATAACTTTAAAATGTTTAATAATGAATGATTTTAAGTTTTAATAAAATACTAAAGGGAATGTTTAAAATATTAGTTTAAATATAGAGTTTAATGGATTAATGTGTTGACTGTTATGGATTTATTATTGTAGTATTGGTTTTTGAAATAGTAGAATGTACTAAGCAGAATCTGATTGGGATTTAGGTGTTATTTTAAATTTTAATTTAGGGGAATGATAGAAAGGTATCATACTCTGATTAGTGATTCCAGGGGAAACTATTCTTTTTTATATTGGAAATGAGACAGATGTAAATGGAGAAATGGACAAAAGATATAAAAATATTTTTCTTTAAAGCAAGATTAAATATATAAAATAGAATTGAGAGAAGGGAAAAGTGAAGAGGAGTTATATAATAGATATAGAATGGTAAACAAGATAGGTAATGGTATATAAGAAGAGCATGAATTCAATTGAAGTCCATACAAAAAGAGGTAATCTGGGGCCAAGTTACTTTCTAAAAGAAAGTTTTATGTTTTTATGTTTATGTCTTTTGTGTGTGTGTTCAATTAAGAATTAAATAATAAAATCTCGGAGGAAGACTAGATGAGAACAATTATAAACAAGCCAGAGGAAAATATAAATGTGATGATTGAATAGCAGATAAATTAGAAAGGAAATATGATTGAATAATGATTAAAGAGAAATAATGTGGAATTTGGTAAAGGGAATTTACATGTTTATATGGAAATGGGATAAATTATAAGTATGTGATATAAAGCAATGTGTTACCTGCCTTGTAAAGATTTACAATGGAAAGAGTTTTTATGTTTTTAATGTTTAATGATGTTTTGTTTTGTTTGTTTGTAAAATCAATAAAACTTGTTTTTAAAAAAATCATAAGGTACAACACTTAATGATAGTCATAGGGTACAATAAGCAATCAAATCATACTAGGAAACAAATAAAACAATATAAATTGTAAAGATACAAGCAACATGGTTATAGTCATAAGTGGGAAGAGATAGGCACTAGGAATCTAGTAGTAGAGGAATAATAGTAATACAGTAAATAAGTTGACAGTGTTGTGGGAATTAGTTGTTCAGCAGAGTGATGGCATTCGGGAAAACACTGTCCTTGTGTCTCGTTGTTCTGGTGTGCAGTGCCCTACAGTGTTGTTCTGAGGGTAAAAGTTGAAACAATTTATGTCCAAGATGTGAGGCATCCGTAGATATTTTCACAGCCCTCTTTTTGACGCGTGCAGTATACTGGTCCTCAATAGAGGACAGGTTGGTAGCAATTGCTTTTTCTGCAGTTCTAATTCTAATTATCCATCTGTCTTTGCCAAATGAGAATGTCTATCTTTCCTGTTGGGTTGCAGAGCCAAACCAGACAGTTATAGAGGTGCAGATGATTCCTCTGTAGAACTGAATCAGCAGCTCTTTGGACAGTTTGAGCTTTCTGAGTTGGATCAACCAGTAGGATCATCCCTGGTGAGATTCCAGCAATAATTAGCAAGCATGGCAGACTCCATTTCCCTTGCTATCTTTTCTCCATGCCTGCAATATCCTGGTGGAACACCCATGTTCATCACTCACTGCCCCAGAATTCTTTTTATTATTATAATAAAGTTTTTTATTTCATTCTAAACATACACAATACATAAATAGTGTGCATCAATATATCATACATTTTAGTATAAGCAAAGTTAATACCAATCATGTCTCTTAATACACATATTCACATTAAGTCATAATCCTTCACTGCTTATTTTCAACATTTCAATACTCTCTCCTAATGCCAACCACCATATCATTTAAACATACCCAGCTGTTATGTCTCACCTGTACCAACAAGGTGAGAAGTCCAAATTTCCAACTGGATACAAACAAGCAAGCAAGTCCAGTAATTACAGGGTTAAATTCCTTGAGCCGATAAAGTTCTTGGCAGTCTCACACAAGCTGTCTGCCAAGTCCGATAAGAAAGCAGGAATATAAATCACAAGCGCACACAGGATATTCCGAAGCTTCTCTCACTAAGTAACACGTTGTCCCAGACAAGTTCCCAGAGCGAACACACCCACTTTTATTTCCTGTGGGGCGTGTCAGTCCCTCATCTCAGTCTCTGATTCGTCCTTTCTTTCTGCGTTGCAGCTCACACTTTTGCCTGCGCCGTTGCCTCGCATCAAGCCAGCATTCTTCAGCTTGATCCTTAGTCAGAGACTCTGATATGCTCTCCTGGTTATCTGCCGACACCTGAGGCACAATCAGGGAGGAAGGTCTTGCTGAAGAGGAAAGTCCTGGGGAGGAAGGCAACTCCAAATCCTCTAACAAAGCAGGCTCAAACCTCAAAGCCAAATCCTCTTCTTCCACATTGTCCAAGTCTTTGTCCTCTAACAAAGCAGGCTCAAACCTCCGAGCCACAACACTTAGTAATTTCATTATTCAATTTCCTCTCCAATTTTTATTTTTTAAATAAAAAATTCTCATTTGGCAAGCAGTGTGGTTCTAGGTTTCACATCTCAATACAAACATGACCACAGTTGCCTATTCATTTTATTTATTCAATTTCATATCACATTATCCTTATTAATATTAAATATCAAACTTACCCAATTCCAGTTCATGTTATAGCTTGTTTCATTTTTCTCAAAATATTCTCATATCTTATTTTACAATGTTATCTAAAATTCTTATCTCATTCCTATGTTCATTTCTCATATTACCATTTTCTGTCACATTTGCAATTTTATCAATCTTTATTCTATTAATTCAAAATTGTCCCCTTTGGTTAATAATTCGAGCTAGCCACCTTCATTCTACGTTCTATCTCCCTATATACTATATATCACACATACATATATTTTTTGTCAGATTCTGCATTACATTTTTTCAATCACCTTATAAGTTATCTATACCTTACAAGAACATTAATCTAATCAATTAGTTATAGCAACTGATATTAATCTTTCCATAATGATTCTCATTTCATCATTTTTATACATTGCTAATCATCAATTAATATATAATATTCTTATTATAAATTCCCATTTCCATATTTATTTCATTAAGTTCCATGTCTAATGTAGCGATGATGAACACCCTGTCCAGAGTCATTGATGAAATATCTGATC